CCCATTTTTCTCACACCCGCAGTGCTCATGAGGCACCAGAGGACAACAGATACTCCTGCCATGTAGGAAATTCCAATGGCTTTAGGAGGTTTTGTCACAGGAGAGACACAAACAAAACATTTTCACTATAACTCAAATCCTCATGGTATTTCAGGGAATAGATTTGTTTATCTGCCTTCCCTTCTGGACAATAAGCTCCTTGAGGGTAGTATCTTACATTTAATTTTTCTTTTTCTTCCCAATGTACAAGTACGTAATAAAATGTCTTTAATAAACAATTGCCCAAATGAGGAAAATTGCATTTTATTAGCCTATGACATTGCTCAGCAACAAAAATGTGACAGAATTAGGTATTTCAGCAGAAATGAAACTATCACAGTAGGTGTCAGTAATTCATATGGTGAAATTCTCATTAATTAGATTTGAGATGCATAAACCAGGTTATCTAGCCCCACACTGGCCACTTACTTACCATCTAGGACTTGCAAGTCCCATAACACTCTAGGCCTGCAAGTCCTCAACTGTTACATGCAGGAGAAATTCTGCCCTCTCTTTTCATACAGCAATAATATGAGGGTTAAATAAGATAAGGCACCGAAGCACTTGTAATTTTACAAAATTAGTCCAATAAGAGTAATTAAGATTAAATATACAATATTAATAAGCATATAAAATGGCTTCAGAACAGCAAAAGAATATTAATGAAAATGCAGAGAGGAAACTATTAGCTACAGATTTCACTAGATTCTGAAGACACTGAAAAAGTTGGAGTTGGATACAGAGCTCAACCTGGTCTTTCACCTCAAGTTGAGAAGACTGGCATAAGGGCAGAAAGGTCACTGTGAAACCCATTAAAAATGACCTGATGTTCAATCTCCTCGGGTCTGGTGTTGTAATCAATGGGGATTGTTCTGTAGAGTGGCTGCAGGATTCAGTGTATCACATTCAGCTCTCTCCAATAAGGTTATTTATTGCTATCCAATTCACATTTCCCTCAGGTTTTGGCAAGACTGTAGAATTTATTCTCTTACATAGTAGCCAGTCAAGTAAATTACCTGGCATACTTCCACGGTCACACACTGTTCTTACCCCACACTGGTGGCTTTATTTCTTTGTTCCTAAGAGTATCTTAAAATTTAGTTATACAGGCTTCCCCTTTGTAATTCTGCAATTTAGTATTATTCTTTCTTTCCCAATATTTTCTAAATTAAAAAAATGTACAGAGAATCGGGTAGTTTTTAACAATAAAACCAAGACAAGGTAATAAATATTCTGGAGAAAACATTTTTCCTAGTAGACAAAAGGTACCAGTTGATATTAGAACGAAAAATAGTACCATTCTGCTACGGGGTCTCAGAGCACTTCATTAGGACAGAGAAGCACGAAGAGCTGCATTAAAGCAGCCCTGGGCTCCCTGAAGAACAGTGATAGGACGATGACCCACTCCCCTGGTTTATGCTACACATTCTGAGTAGGAAGCCCGAACGTCTGAGAGCTGCTCTGGTATGCTGTGCGGTAACTCAATACCCCTCTTTTATTCTTTTAATTGAACTTGGTAGGAAATTTACACAACTACTGTTATTACAAAGTTTAATTGAACTTTGGGTAGGAAAAAAGATCCCACCATTTGTTTATATTACCCATTTCCACTTTCCAATAGGTCAAAAATGTTATTGATAACATTACATCACACCATATTATAGTATAGTATAGTCTACTTTTCTATAGCATTACTACACTATGATCTTTATACTATTCTATACTGTATTTACCATACTGGACGGTGCTATTCTACACTATGTATGTAATTTCTGAAGTGGGGGCTGTGCAAATATCTGCTTTAGAAATATAGGTATGAACCACAGAGTCTTACAAAAAAAGAAATAGGTAATAACATCTTATACTCTACTACTTTGGTTATAATGATACAGAGTGTAATAACTACTGTTATTCTCTCACTATCTGATTATGATATTTTGTTTTACTTCTTCATATGTGTAGTGAACAGCCCATCTTTTGACCACAGTTTACAGCTGGTCATAACAGTTATTCTAAGTTGAAGGTTAAAAACACTGTTCATACAAGTAGGCATCATAAACACTTCAAGGAGGCTAAACACCCCACAACCACTGAAGCAGATGACACTAACACAAGCAGCACTGTGCAGTAAGGCACTGTGGCAAGTGAGGCCACCAAGGAGCTACAATACTGTGGTCCAGTGTTCTTGCTGAGCACTGGGAAAACTCCACCACTGGGTACTAGGAGGTATCTGAGTGTTTATGCCTAAGGGTCAGGATCTTAGTGAAGTTCTTGGTAAATTCTGACAATCATCGATTTTAGGTTACAGGTGCACTGAAGCGCTTTCCACGAGGGGACTGCCTGTACCGGGGTTGGAGAACTCCTTGTGGTGGGCACGGTGGGCACTCTCTTAGACAGTTATTCTTCCTTTACCCCTCAGTAATAAATGGTAAGGGCATCGATTTTTGTGACCATCAAGAATAAAGCCAAATGTTTCCAAGGCAGGGGAAACAGTGCTAAAAAGCATATTGCTTGTAAAAACTCAAAAAAAGGGGTTGGTACAGGGGCCTGTGTGTGTCTTACTAGGAGACCCCATGTTTCCAAACTGCCGCATTGCCTCAGGCTGAGTCTATACACTATTAGTACAAGCTATAAATACATGTCTCTTAAGCACTGTCACGTGGGTAATAGACTATCTGGCCTCCTGTATTTACTCAATGACCTAGATACATTTTTGACTTCTGTGTGTGTGTGTGTGTGTGTGTGTATTGAACCCAGGGCCTTATACATGCTAAGCACACACTAACACTGAGGTACTGCCACCCTTTTTGAAATGGGGATAATCACACCTGTCTTCAGTTTTTTATGTGATTTTATGAAAATTTTATAAATTGAAAATAATAAAGCAAAGATGGTTTTATAAATTTTACTAGACTTTATACATTAGCGATTGCTGTGAATTGTGTGATCCTTCTCAAATACGATGCTTACAGGGCTACACCATAAGCTCACTAAAGATTCTTAGGCAGTGAATCCATCTCAAGACAAGTAAGATAGGAGCTGAAGAGCTTAAGGGAGGGAGCACAGCAGTTACTTGTATGAGAGCACCAAGCGTTAGCCCAGTGCAGTAAACTAGAAGTATGGGTAGGAGGCTCATCTCAGCCATACAGTTTCAGAGTCACTTCATTATTGCCAAGCTGAACAGTGAGAAGTGTAAGATATTCCTACATTCCATGTTATCAGTGAGAGAACGTACTTTCTGCAATTGATCCTTTCGGTTACGCAGTTTTATTAGGTACATGCTGTTTTCTGGTACTATTTTTGCTTTGAGAATTACTAATTGTATATTTTAAGTCTTTTTAAAAATGCATTCCTAGTTCCCCCTTTTATTTCAGAAAAATTATCTTCTTTTCTCAACCTTTTTCAAAACAACTTCCTTGCGCATAAATTTCAGGCTTTTCTTTTCTCTGACCTAATTTGCTCCTTTTTAAAGTTTTATCTCTTTACATTTTCCTTTCTTGTATTCTTTTATCTTTTCTATCAAGTATTGTTTTTCTTCTGCCAATTCACTAAGTAGTCCTAGAATAAACAATTTGGTATTCAAATTTTGAATACTCATTTAAACAAAAAGAAAGTTGTTAAGCAGAAGATGCAAATTACTTGCTTCTGTTCCCATTTGTATTTTGAAATCCCTTATAGTGGGAATTGGCATGCAAGTATGAATTTAAGTAGGTTAGAAATAAATTCGTGTGCATCAATTGAGGAAAATAACTTCAACTATCCCAAGTAAATGAAATCAGAAGGGGAAAAAGAAAAAAAAAGGAGAAAAGGAGAAGGAAGAACAGGAGAAAAATACAAACAGGTGTGAATGTGTTGGGAACAGTGACATCAAGTTCAAGTTTGCCCTTTCCAGGTAATGTAGAGAGAGACAGTTCTCAAGCAATGGCATCAAGTGAACTTGTGCTCAATATATCTGTGCTTTTTAAAAAAACCCATGAAGCCTATCATTCTAATAGAATTTTTTTTTTTTTTTTTTTTTTTTTTGGTTTTTCTCCGGTACCGGGACCCGATCTCACCACCTTGCGCTTGCCAGGCAGGCGCTTTTGCCGCTGAGCTAAATCCCCAGCCCCTCTAATAGAATTTTGACACCATACACAGATTGTTCATGGCCTTTGATCTTTCTGTCAAAAACCAGCATAGCGAAATTGATGTTACTCAAGACAAAAACATCAATATTGTATTGTAAATAGGTCGATGAAATAAAGTAGAAATGCTGTTTAAAATGCTTAGATAAAATATTAATTACAAGTAGTAATTACAAACTGAAATCAGAAAGTAAAAATTCCACACGAGCAGAAGTGATTGTGCAGCTCCATTCATCTGTGAACCCCTCTAGGTAAATTCCACATTTTCATCACCTAATGTGAAAGCAAAAGCCTGTTGTAGTGTTGGACTTCAATTATATGAACCAAAAAATGTATTTACAAGATCGTGATCACAATTCATGTCTTCAGGGATTTTAGTTTATTTTAGCTATTGTAGCAGCTGCTCTGGTTACTGAGAAAATGATGGACATAAACTACTGGCCCTTCTTCAGCTTAAGCAATGGTAATGTCAACACATCAATTAACAGTAAAAGGACTGGGTTATCAAGGGTTGCATTAACTGGCTTACTGTAAAAGTTAAACTGATGTTTGTTTACATTTCTGGAAGGCAAATAGACCCTCTAATATATGCATAAGGACATGGACTGCACTTGATTAAAGTTTGGGCCACTTCTGTGTTCCTCAGATCTAGGTTTGGGACGTATCAGGGATGAGGGTCTCTGATCACTCAGACCCACTGCATTAGACAGAGGTCCTCTGCAGGCACAGCCGGCAGCAATGGTCTTTGCTCAGTTCAGCCACAACCTGCCCACTGCTGGGCATTTCAGCTGCAGTAATTATACAATTCCTACATAGAGTAAGACAGGATTTCCATACCTGTATTTTCTACTCTTTGTTGTTGTTGCTTTTGTTCTGTCCTTTGTCTGGATTGTGTATTCCTCAGGGTCACTTTCAATACTAAAGACAATTTCCGATTATCCACCAGATTGTACCTCCTTCATGCTAAACGTTGTTATTCCCTTCAGGGTGTCCCCACCCTTTTAGAGTCTGATGCACGCTACTTTTAACACAGTTTGTATTTTCTTCAGTTAAATTCAGCTGTTAAAAAAAAATACGCTAGTTCAGGCATGGCCACAGGTGTAAACACCTAGAATAAGAGATGCTGTCTTGCTCTTGTTCTCGATGTGCTCCTATTACATGAACTAATGCTGTCTCGGCTCTCTGGAAATCACACTACATCTCTAGCTCCCACTGAGACCAACATCAAACGAATGCCCGGAATCGTTGATATGTTTTCTTTAAATTCCTTCCAGGCACCTTTTATGTTTGTTTATTGATTTTATGTTGATTCTCATTTACTTTATTTTCCCAGATTTGGCCCAGTCTTCTACCTAGTAGAGATGTTTCTTAGTCTTGCTCTTAGCTTCTGTTATGTATTTCTCAGATTCATAAAATCTGCAAGTCTGATTTTCAGGGATTCCTCACTGATTCTTTAGAGTCATTCTGAAAACGCTTTTATAATAATAATTTAACACTCTTCTATAATACTCATTTTATGACCAATAAATAATTGAAAAGTGCTCAACATCACTGGCGATGAGAGAAATACAAATTCAGACACACCGAGGAAGAACTCCAGAAAGAATGGAGTGACAAATCATCAAGAAACCAAGTAATAAGAAATGCTACAAAATCTGCGGTGGTGGGGGAATGGGAGGGAGCCCTTCTAAATTGCTGTTGTGACTGTAAACTAGTGGGAACCACTATGGAAATCGGTACGAGATTCTTCAAAAAACTAAAATTAGAAATTCTATTTAATGCAGCTATTCCCGTCCCTATGCACCTTCCCCAAAGAGTTAAGGATATCATACTACAGTGATCCATGCATTCCCACATTTATTCCAGCACAGCCCATCATAGGTAAATCTTGAAAGCAGCATATATGTCCTCAACAAATGAATGGATAAAGAAAATGTGGTAATTATACACAATGGAGTGCTACTCTGCTATAAAGAGGGATAAATTTGAGTAATTTGTAGGAAAATGAGTTCACTTTGGGACCATAATATTCATGGAAATAAATCTGATGGACAAACTTAAGTATCACATAGCTTTTCTTAAGGACATACCCAAAGTATAAAACATTCATAGGGCAAAATAAAAGATAATATAAATAGGGGATCGATCCTTTACAGATGGAAAGGGGATCTAGAGGTGGAGGAAGGAGGGAGACAGGGAAGGGAAAAGAAGTAAAGAGGGTTAGGATGTGTCACGTACATTGACCAACTCAACAATGAAGATAAACATTACATAAAGCAAATACGTACTCATAAACACAAAAAATATAAAACTTGTTTGTAATAAAATTAAAGAGAAAATTTTACATTTTATATGATGCTTTTATAAATAAGTTTTCTTTCTAATAACCTTAGGAATTTTTGAACTTCATGAATACACAAATTTATGCCATATTTGTTAAAATTAAAATTTCATTTACTAAGGCATGTGTTTAGTTTTATATCAGGAACAATCTGCTAAAACCAGTTTTCATTAATAGATTCCTGGATTACACAGAAAGACCAAAAATTGCTTCTATTTATGACACTGTAGTGATTCAGAAAATACTTGGCATAATAGAATATGCTAGAGAAACCAAATAGAATTCAAAATAGACTCTGAATGCTTACAGGCTTTGGAAATGTTGAAGGATCATATAAGGTAACTGCTAATGGATAAAACCTAATGAGTGTGGAAAAATACCCATAAGGGACTTGTGCATGTCGTATGTATCCCACATGGCTTTGCAACTTACAGAAAATATGCGAGAACAATACATCGTTATATTGCCACTTGCCATGATGAAGTGTACACTGGCCTCCAAGCACAGGACTCCGAGCAGGGCTGTGTGTGCAATCTCATGTATGTCTTCAGGAAATCAGGTCAGGGAGCTTTGTTAACGGAGCCCCGGCTTGCTAACGCACAAGCTGTTCACTTATAACCAGGCCCTTTAGTAGATGCTGACTTAGGGTTAGTGGGACGTGAGAGCAGGTTGGGTTTTATGCCAAATTGTTGTCATGGTGATGGCAGTATGGGCTGGGGGATATTCCTGATACATTTTCCCTACAGGGAGTTTCTCTTTCAGTTAGAAGATATGGGAATACATGGTGATATTCACCCCAAGCCATGATAGCAAATTCATATTCTATAAATCCTGGTGGGGAAAACAAAAATGCCAGTAGTGGTTCACTATTTCTTCCTTATAATCATACTAATTAGGTGATAAATACTTTTATATTTACAGAATTCTCCATGTTTCTTAAAGTATTAATAATCTTAGTCATGTTTACTATGCAATTTCATCAAAGAAATTTCTACCAGTTTTATTTCTATTGAGAATTCTAAATGACTAATGATAACTAAAGCAGTGGAATGCATTACACTGCTATGTTTAAAGCACCTTGAATGCTCCCAACACAGTAAGTTAGTGCAGCCTTCATTCTAGTGTTAGCCTTTCTTCCAAGAACTTGTCTTCTGCTGCTTGGATTAAAATACTCTCTACAGCTCGCTCTGTGTTCTTTATAACATTCTAGTTTGGGGTATTTTCTAACTTCCTCTTTGTGAAGCTTGACTTTATCTCATCAACCAGAGTACTCTTTTTGCCCTCCTCAACATCTAAAGGTATCCATATGCACCTTCCTATACAGCATTTATTACTTTTCACTGTTAATCCGCAATAAACTCAGGCTTACATGAAAGCCACATAGTACTCATATCCTTTAGCCAATTTCCCCTAATGTTAATAACAGCATCATCAAAACAAAGGAATTAAAACATGCACAAAACTTTTAACTAAGCTCAAGTTTTCTTGGATATCATGAGTTTTCCCAGTGATGTTTGTTTTCTGTTCCAGTATTCAATTTAAGATCCCAGATTACATTTAATCATCTCCTTAGTCTCCTCCAAAGTACATGTCCATTTCTCAGCCATTCCTTTTCTTTCATGACTGTGACAACTTTTCACCTTGTAATATTCTTTCATCTGTACATGTTTATATCTCATTGTGCTGTAGGTTTCCCATAAGATTTGTCACTGTGACACATTTTTAATTCCCCTAAGTGTCTAGCAAATGGTAAGAGGTCAATGATTGCTACTTAACTACATGTCAGAAACAATTAGAAAAGAGAGTAAGGAAATAGATAAAATGAAATGTTGAGTTGTTGGTATAGTGCCTTTATGCCATTAGAAAAGTTAGAAAAACTAAGAAATTGTAAGACAGAAAACTCAGCATATAGTGTACCTGAGCCTGCTTGCTCTTGGTCCCTGGAACAGGATCCATTGGTGCCCTACTTTTCAGATGATCATGGCACAGGAAAACTGGTGACTAGCAGAAGGGCAGCCTTGGCCCCTGCATTTCACATGGCTTATCACTAGAACTCACAGTCAGTAGACCTCATGTTCGGAGGCAGTGGTAGAGTTATTATTCCCTATCTTTCTTACATCTTATTTTCTGCCCCATGGCTTTTTATTGAAAACTCTGAAGAGAATTCTGGTTTCCCTTCTTTGGGACTCTGAACTCCAGCTCGCCCCATTTTTGTTTTTTCCAACAAATGCCTGGAAAGTGTATTATTATGCCTCAGCCCATGATGCAACCCTGCACTAACCCAAGCTACTTGCTGCTGCCTGGATTTCCCCATGGTTATGATCATTCCACTACTATTGAGTCTGCACTTCGCATGAAGCCAGGAGACTCCTAATGTGAGTGCTGTATGCCTTTTGCACATTGTCAAACCAACTAAGTGTCCTCCTTAGCATTCTAGGCTTTCCTCCCTCCCCAACCGTGCCTACTGCTATGCCCAAGTACAGTTCACAATTGTGCATGCTATAGTTTAGATCTAAAATAAACCCCACAGTCTCATGTATGTAGAGGCTGGAGCTTTGGAAAGCTGACTGGATCACAAGGGTGCCACACTCATCAGTTTATCCATCCATGGATGAGTTCATGGGTGAGTGCACTGGTAGGAGGTGTGGGCGGCTGAAAGTAACTGGATGCTTGACTTGGAAGGGTGTATTCTTGGCACCAGCTCCTTCCTTCTCTCCCTGCTTCCTGGTTGCCACGTGATGAGAAGTTTTCCTCTACCATGCCCTTCTACCAGGCGATTTCTACCTTGGAGCCAGCCAACTGTGAGAGGACTGAATGCAATAAAATTGTAAGCCAAAATAAACCTGTTCCTTTACATTATGGGTGTTACAATGCTGTGAAGGTCCCTTGTTGCTCTTGCTACCTTATAGGCACCATGAACTGTCTTCTGTGATGCCCCTTTGCCCTGTGTTACCCTGCCTGGGAGCCAACTATGGACTGAACCTCTACAAACTGTGAGCCAAGTAAACCTCTCCCCCTTTAACTTTGGTTGTTGCGTATTTTGTCTCAGCAATGAGAATGGTCACTAAGACGCCCTCCTTCCTACTGGTCAGGCTGCACCTGTACTGTCCCTCCTCTGAAGCTTTGGCCTGCTGAAGAAGGTCTCCATCTCCTGGGGCCACAGAAGCTCTGCTTTGTTTGGAGGGACCTAATTACTGATATCTGAGAGAGGATATTTTTTAATTCCAATTCCACACTACATCATATTTACATCTTTCACAAACACTTTGAATTAACCTAACAGGATCAAGAACAACTGAACTGTTGTGCTTTAACTATAGTACTGCTGGATAATTTTTCATTTTCTTTGCAAGGCCTTCCACAAAAGGGAAACATGCCAACTAGGGTCCCTCCCACAGAGGTGTTTGGACATTAGACTTAATAAAGCATGAAGAACTCATTAATAAACAATGTTCTACTAGGTTAACAAATAAAGCCAAATGCATTGGATAGACCTGGAAGTAAATCAAATCGTACATGCAACCACGTGACTTGTTAACTTCCAGCAGGCTCTCTGCAGCACCCTGACAAAGCCCAATAGAACAATACACAGATAAAACCAGAAGATCATAAATATATGACACCTCTAGCTATGGTACAGATGTTATCTATCTATCTGTCTATCTATCTATCTATCATCTATTACACTCTATGAGACCTTAATAGTAATGTTGATGCA